CAGCACGGCCCGCAGGTTGCGGCCCTGCGCGCACACGAGCCCGGCCGAGCCCGGCGCGGCCGCAGGGGGAGCGGGCGGGGACGGAGGAGGCGCCGCCGGTTCCATCTCCGCGCAGGGCGCCGCCATGGCGAGGGGCGGGGCCGGCGGCGTGACGTCAGCGGAACGACGCGATGACGTCATTACCGTATCCCCGCCCCACTCCCCATCCCCGGGAGCGTCGGGGAGATCCGGGCGGGAATCCCGGCCTGGGAATCCTGTCCCGGGAATCCTGTCCCGGGAATCCTGTCCTGGGAATCCTGTCCCGGGAATTCTGTCCCGGGAATTCTGTCCTGGGAATTCTGTCCCGGGAATCCTGTCCCGGGAATTCTGTCCCGGGAATCCTGTCCTGGGAATTCTGTCCCGGGAATTCTGTCCCGGGAATCCTGTCCCGGGAATCCTGTCCTGGGAATTCTGTCCCGGGAATTCTGTCCCGGGAATCCCTCCCTGGGAGCGGCTGAGCCCCTGGCACAGGCTGTCCCTGGAAGTGCTCAAGGGCAGGTGGGACAGGGCTCGCAGCACGTCCTCATTTTGGGGGTAAAACAGCCCGTGAGGGGTGAAATCCCAGCCAGATGTGGGGGGAGGGAGGCGAGCCCTCTGCCTGCCCAGGGGATGTAAATCCACAGCTGCAGGTGCTGCATCTGCCCTCACCCCGTCACATTAACACGAGGAGGTCCCCAGCCCATGAAAGCCGAGTGCCACAACACCACACTGAGTCTCCAGCTCGTGGCCAAGGCCGCTGGGCTGGGCTGGGCTGGGCTGCTTGGTCAGGGCTGGTGGCTGGAGTGGTGTCTCTCATTGTGAACAATTCAAGAGGTAAACAAAAACCTGCTAACAGGACCTTTGGCCAATTCTTGAGTCTTACATGGGAGCTTTCTCTGTTGAAAACTCACTCTTAATCTGCCTTTTAGCATCTTCTGCTGGATTATTCACGAAGCAAAGCTTCACTCTTGCTGGCCAAGGAGAATTGCTACCAGCTTCCTCCCAAGCAGAACATTTTGTCCCTTTGTTTTGCTTTCAGCAGGAGCCTGTACATTTTCTCAACTCCAGCACCAACACAGAGCATTTTGAAGATTTATACTGTGCATTACCTCCCTGGAAACACCAGCTCCTCTTCAAATCCTTCAGTACATCCTGTCCTGGAAAGGCAAGGATGGGTCTGCTGGCCATTCTTGTGGGGTCACATCCTGCTGTGACCCAGTTCTGATGCTGCTGCTTCAATCTGCCCAACTG